AGCTGCGCGGACCAGGTAATGTCACTCACCACCTACATCGAAGCAGATTTCCGAAGAAGACTTAAAGCTTCAGCGGCATTTATTGATCTCTCGGCAGCTTACGATACAGTATGGAGAGAGAGCCTTATATACAAAATTCTCCGTGCAATCCCCTGTAAACAAATAGCACGTTTAATAGATATCATGCTCAACGACCGAATGTTTCAAGTAGTGATGAGCACAGATATCAGCCCACCAAAGAAACCTTAAAAATGGCCTACCACAGGGGTCAGTGCTCTCTCCATTACTATTTAGCAGATATGCCGGAAACACAATCAAGAAAGTTCGGATACGCCGATGACTGAGCCCTCACTACACGATTCAGAATACTAGAAACATCTGAAGAAGTTCTGACAGCAGACACATATATTGGGTAAATATTTTCGTAAGTGGCGACTTCAACCAAATGCATCCAAAACAGAAGTTAGTTGCTTTCACCTGAACAATAAACTTGCGCAATAAACAGAACGCTATCATTTAAAGAGCATTTAACAAAAATTGCCCACAAGTTGAGTACAAGAAATAACATTTATACAGAAGCTCTGCGATACCACCTGGGGAGCATCGGCTTCCACTCTCCGCTCTACTGCCTTAGCCCTTGTTTTCTCAACCGCTGAATATTGTGCTCCAGTTTGGCTACACAGTAAACACGTAAAAAAGGTCGACACTCAGCTGTATAGCACTATGAGGATGATAGCTGGTACAATTAAATCAACTCCCACCCAATGGCTTCCAGTATTAAGTCACATCCCACCTCCATATTTACGACGAGTTGAATCACTTACACGTGAATACAAAAAGATCATGAACAATATAAACCTGCCGATCCAATAAGATACCAAGGATGCACGAAATACCCGTCTATGTCCAAGAAAACCACCAATGAAAACGGCAAGAATGATACATGAGGAGTTCATCAACATCAAGAATGCATGGTCCCAAGAATGGATCGCATGGCAAAATAACATGCCCTGCATTACCCACAAGCCACCAGGTTTTGATCTTCCACGTAAAACATGGTCCACTCTAAATAGGATCCGAATCAGACATGGCAGATGTGCATACATGCTACATAAATGGGGAAAGAATCCGTCTCCTCAATGTCACTGTGGGGAGAACCAAACGATCGACCACATTATTGAAGAGTGTCTCTCAAGATCCTATAATGGTAGCCCTGAAGACTAAATGTGTTGTAATTGCCATACGATAAATAAATAAATAATTCTGTAATAGTTTTGATTTAACTTAGACAATTACTTCAAAGTTCAACTTACGTTACAGGTACTTGAAATGACCGAATAGACAATCCCCAGGAAGTGATGTCAAAAAAACTAAAAAAACTTGAAGTAGCCAATGTCTACAGCCATGAATATGTGTAACCAAATGGAGAGACAAACGAGACATACATGATTTCGTAAATTTAGTGATCAAATGGTGAGAACTACTTCAAGAGGAATAGTATCTGAGAAACCTAAGTGAATGGCTCAATGTAACAAACACAAATATGGTATAGAGTTAACTGATCAAATGCTGAGCAAACATTTCTATAAACAGGAGTCTGAGGTGGAGTAAAAAAGGTCCAAGGAGTCTAAGGTGGCATAAAAAATTAGGACTGCGAATCTTTTAACTCATATTATTCAATGTTTATTTTCTATATAATAGCAGAAATCAAAAGAAAATGTCCCCTTACGATTTTAGGCTTTCAATTATTGAGGAACTTTTAGGACCCAGTTTAAAAAGATCCACCGGTTAAAAAACTACTGGTGGAACATTTACCACAAAATTGTCCAAAAGGTTCTGATGGGAAAATAAAAGAGAAGACGCTGCAAATGTTGGTAGAACTAAAATTAGAAAAGAAACTATTTATTACTGTCTGCAGTTCCTAGGAGAGCTAGGTTTGTGGTTGCAAAACTGTTTCGGATTGTTTCACTACAACCTAGATGCTGAAAATTAGTGTTGGTCATTCATTGCAATGACTGTCTGTTTATTATTTTATTTTTTATTATTATTTTGTATTCTTCTTTATTTTAATCTACGTTTAACTTAACCACGTATATAAAAATTTTATAAATATATTTAAAAAAAGTGGTACAGTAGGCGATACTGCAGACTATGTTTCAGTATTTTCAAATTTTAAATAATATTTTTAAAGTTGAAAAAGTAATTTTATTATTATTATTTTGTATTATTTTACGACTTTTTACAATCATCGATTTATAAAGTTTATTTATTTATTTTAACAATTTTTTTGAACAAAAATATTTACAAAATTACTCTGATTCATCGAGATTGAGTTTTCAAAAATAAAACGAGATTGTTTAAGGTAATACAAAATAATAAAATATTAACATACAACCGCTGTTCTTTAATATCTTTATTATAGATTTTAATAAAATTGAAAAAGTTTACATGTATAACGGATCCCTCGTCGTTTAAAAAAACTCTGCCAACTGTTTACAGCGCCTCACTTAAATCTAAAGTATCGTCTTAGTATTTTACCATAGAGAAAAAGTAATACAGCGCCTATGTACAAACTTTGCTTCAGAAATACTTGATACAAACCCAGCCCCAGTCCCACTCCCCTCTATCCTGCCCATTATATGCCAGCAACCCGCTATACGTGTTCAATTTATGAAATTTAACTTAATAGAAAAAAAAATATATATTCTACATCAACAGACATCAAGTAACGGAAACTTATTAATGTTAAAATATCTTTTGCAAAGCTAATAACTGGTACCATGTATACCTTCACTGACATACAGACCACTAATAATATTTTTTGGAAGACGAACGTGTTAATGGAGATTTAAATGTTCGATCTGTTTGTCTACTGTGAAGATAGATAGTCAGTCCCATTTTTATATTTTAAAAAGATCTTCAAGCCAAAATGTATATCTAACCAATTATTGGGTTTATCCCAAAAATTAATTTCAAACAGATCACTTAATTCTTTATATTAAAGTATGTATTAGTTAATGCTTACTTCCAAAAGACAGAATGTGATCTTCACGCAATTTTGGTGTTTTGGTTTCAAATTTCAAAATAAGATCTAGGATAGTGAGTCAGTGCAGATTAAAGTTGACTTCAATTAGTATCGACTATAAACATCCTGGGTTAACCGATAATAGTATAAAAGGCCCAGTTTCAGGTAACAATGGTGTACCTGAGGTACAAGGTCTTAACAATGGGCCAAGTCTGTGTTCTGAATAACATTGAGGGAATTTAGTCGTGAGTTGGGAGCTGAGATATAATATAATATACTACCATAATCTATTTTTGAAGAAGTTAAAGATCAGTAAATGACAAGCAACATATCTTGGTCTGTTCCCCATTGATGGTGCACTAATTATTTTACGATATTTATTCTTTTAAGACAGATACCTTTTAATTCTTGGATAGATATTTCCAAGATAATTTTTTGTCAAAGCTTACACCTAAAAATTTTTGTTGATGTACTACTGTTTAAAGATTGGGATGATGTTTTTTACTAAAATGAACTATTTTCGATTTTTTTGATATAAATTTAAATCATGTGGCTTGTAACAAACTGTGAATATCATTTAAAGCAGTTTGATTTAAGAATTAAGGAGCAAGTGGATGTTGTTTTTGCTTTCAGAAAAAATACTAGATCATCTGTATATATTGTGTATTTGACTGGGGGTTTAAGAAGTGTACCAAAACGTTGTTTAAACTGGAAGAAATAAACAAATTGAAAAAATACCTATTCTACAAGTAATGGAAACAAGGGAAGAACAGTTCTTAAATGACAACAGATATCAATTCACACACTAGGATGAAGAGTAAGTTAGACAAAGAATATTGGATTAACATTTTTTGAATAATTATTATTTTCAATAATTTTGAATTTTAAATAACAGTTGCCCATTGTGTCTTCATATATCTGCTTCTCTGTGGATAATTATTCCTTTTCCTCTATTGGGATGACCCACACTTCGATATCCTACTGGTGATCTTTTTGTCTTCATATATCTGCTTCTCTGTGGATAAATATTCCTTTTCCTCTATTGGGAAGTCCAGTTTATTTTACCCATTGATTTTTCAGTTATTTGTTTTCAATTTCAATTACAATATCCCCACAAATTACAAACTTTTCATTCTCATGGTGTTTAAGTATTTATAACATGTATAAGACTGTATAAACTGTTCAAACTATTCTTCACAGTGTAACATAATTTCTACCATTAACACAGCATATTTTGATTTGGATTTTTAAAAATTCATTCAAATGTTTTGTCACATTTCTTAGTGAAGGTGTGTTACTAGGTATTTGGTGCTTATAATTTGTGTTTTTACATGTTTAAGTATAATAAAAGACACATTTTGACTTATGCCAAAAAGGAATATTCTTCGTATCTTGTTATTTGCAAGGATGATTAGAACTTTTCTTTTCAAACTTTGCTTTATATCATAAGTAATTTGTGGACAACTGTGAAATAATATATTAAAACCATTTGTTTTAAAAGTTCTCAATAATTCATAAAATAGCCAGGAAACTTAAAAAGCATTTCCTTTTAATTCATATTTGTTTCACATAACCATGGAAACATAAAATAATGAGAAACATTTAAGATAATCGTGTGGATAATCAATAATAACAGTAAAACTACATAAAACAAAAAAAATACATAAAACCAAAATAAAAAGACAACAGGAAGCTCAATAGACTAATGAGAGGAAGAATTCAAATAATCACTAGCAACAAATGAACAGAGGTAAAAAACTACAGAAATAACAAATTAAGTTTTGTAAAAAGTAAAATTGCAGAAGGACTTGATTTAAAACTTACCAGTCACATTAGTATTTCATTACCAAGATATGTAACACTAGGTGTAACTATATATTTGGAAAGCATACAATGCCTCCAAAAACAAATTCATTATGATATAAAATACCTGAAAATTCAATGTTTTCTACATTAAAACACAAAATAAGTAAATAATCTAAATTATAAAAATTTATTTAAATGATTACTCTAAAAACTATTACAGTTTTAATAATAAGTACATAAAAAATATATAAAAGTCCATACCCTAATAGTATATAATATAGTAAGTAATGTGTATAAAAAATATGTAACAATTCTACTTTTAACTTTCCATTACATCTTTATCTTCTACTGGCTCCTTCCCTTCATGTGTCAAGTTTTCTTGGGGTCTAACTGGTTCCCCAGTCCTTATAATTGGAATGGTTCTATGTTCTGCTGTATTCTCAGTGATTACGGGAGCAGTGATAGTCAATACTCCATCACTGGACAATCTGGATTCTACCCTGTCAATATCACAATTTTCTGGTAGTACATACTTTCTGATGAAATGTCTGTAAATTGCACCATGCTCATCTGGTTTTTCTTCATGTTTGGCTTCTATAGTAATAGATTTATCATCATTTACCTTGACAGTGATTTCTTCAGGTCTAAAATGCTGTACATCGAAGTTGGCTTGGAATTTATTTTTGTCAACAGTGACAGAGGATCTTTGTCGTTGTCCTTCAGAATTTCTATTTACTTCTTGATTGTTTCTGTCACATTCTGGACCAAACATAGCTTGAGCTATTGCAATGGAATTTAAGACATCTTCTGTAATGTTTCTCACTACATTTCCGGAATCTGCCCTACGTACAGGGCAGTTAGGTGCCCAAAAGTTGTCATGAAATATACGTGGAATAAAAGCCATATTTAATACTTGCTGATTTAGAAATTTCTTTAGAAGTACAATAATAAAAATCAAACTTCAAACTTTTTACTAATAATTCACTTTGTCTCACTGGAATACAATAGTTGAACTGATAATTGTAAGAAGCTGGCATTGTATTTATATTAAACTGATTCCAAACGGGAAGTTTCAAGAAATTACTAGAATAAAAATATAATAAAAAGATGATTCAATTGTTTGTTGTGAATTGAATGACACCTACGATGACTTTTAAATTTAAATCTTTCGAGAACCGCGACCGCGACTAATCGAATAGTGCTATCGATGATCGACGGAATACTTTCATTGGATAAATCTGAAAGTCCTTATTTTATTTGTTTATTTGGTATTATTATTTGGGAGATAGTTTAAGAGGGCCTTAAAATTTCTTTTCCTTGGTGTTAATTTTTGTTTTTAAGTATTGCGCAATATTAATCAAGTTTAACAGATTATATCAAATAAAGCTGAACTTTTTCTACCTTTTTAATTTTTTGTTCTAAATATTAATAAACCTCATGGTAAAATATACCATTTTAGCTATTAACAAATTATAAGTACTGAAAACCGAAAATTATCAGTTAAACAAAATTTTCTATCTTTCGTTATGCACTTTTATTCCTTAATTAATTAATTTTTTGTTAATTTTATACCACGTATTTGTCGGCATATTTTCTGTTAATTTTAATATTTCTGATTTAATGTCTTTATGGGTTGTATTTACATAGCCAACATATAATAGATGGCATTTTAATGTAGGACTGTTATTGAAAAATATATATTTTGAACACTAGATAGTAGATAATCCTCGATGATCGCTGCGAATCGATTTCGATTAGGTATATCGATAGTGTACTAAGATCGAATTAGTCCTTACTTTATAATGGACCCAATGACGTATGTTATTGAATGGACCACAGGAGTGATGACGTAGATTTGATTGACATCTGCCAGTTTCACTTTCCAAACAAACCTGGTTTAGTGTGGATAATTTGTATTTTTCGTTATTTTTTCATTTATTTTATAGAATCTTTCCGCTTTTTGCAATATTTAAGTATTCTAATAGTTACTACAACAATTTTACAAGGTTGTGTAAATAATAAAGCACATTGTTTTATGCTAATAGGAATAAAATGAAAGTATCAATAAAGTAAGGTTAAAATTTCTTTAATTAAACTTTTAAACCATATTTCATAGAAATAGAACTCTAAATTATGACGGTATTATCGTAAAAACACTATACTTACAAGAAAAAGCAGCAGAGAAAGCAAAAACTTTATAGGAATTAAAAAGTCTTGAGATTTGACATTTCAACGTTTGTTTGGAAAGTAATAATGACAATCTGACGTCACACTCCTGCGGTCCATTTGAATTTTTTGTTAGGCAATGATTAAACAATAAATTATAAATTTATATTTCAAATCTAAATAATCGTAAAATATCTTTTTGTAATGCATGATTACCTTATAAATGTTGCCTAAAATATTGTATACTGTGGTTAAAATGTTTTAACTTTTATTAAAACTAATTATAATTTGTTAATATAAAAATAAAAAATATTAGATGTTTTTAAAAATATTGGTATAAAAGCACACATAAAAACAATATAAATATCCAAAAAATCATATTTTTTTGGAGAAACGTTGGCTCTTTTACTGCTAATAAATACAATGATCATAAAACACGTAAATATTGTAAGTTATGCTGAAAAATGTTTACATGAAGTCTTCAAAACTTGCAATATTACACTTGCATCTCGATATTCATTTCCATAAATTCTTTAAACAAAGATTTATCTATATTCTGCAGGATGTTAAGTAAATATTAAATTTGTTCGCGTCATTTGTAACTCGTTCTCTTACTTTTCTATGAGTATTCTTTGTATCTTTATTCTTTTTATTCAAATTATTTTAAATTTTGGTACCGAGCTTATTTTGCAGTTTCATTTAATATATTCTTACTCTAATTTCTCCGTTTTGTTTATTTCGTAGCTTATTTAGACCATTAAAGTGCATCAAACACAAAAAAGGCAGTTTTAATTTTCATTTTTAATAGTATTTTGCATCACATCAGTATTAGGATTTTAGATGAAATCACAGTTTAATGTTATTTTTTTAAAATCTCTAAAATTATATTCTTCCCATTATATTTTATTGGCCAACGATTTATCCGTTATAACTGTGTGTCTTCAACCTTTAAGAGTATAAAACCATAAAACGGCAGATAACCTGAAAAATTATATTTAATAAAAGATGATACTCTGTTTTATTTATTCAAAAACAAAAATATGAGCAATGAACAATGACTTTTAAATTTGAATCTTTCGAGAACTGTGACAAATCGAATATTGTTATCGATACTGCGAGAAGGTTAAACAAGTTGCCTAGTTTTAGTTTACCCTTTGCACGAATCAGTGATGTGTATAGAGACTCTTTCCAAAAAACATACTTTCCCATATTCTTATATGTTATATATTAAATATTTATATTTATATAAATATTAATTATTATATTAATAAGTAATTAATGTAACTACACTGGTATGTATGTACACTGGTATGTACACTGTATACAACGTATGCTGCACCAATTTAATATAACCGCCAAAAAATTTAACATGTTAATTTCCCCAACAAAGATAAAATGCATGGTTACAACAGTAAATTTACTAAGATGTAAATTGGAGCTGGAAGCTCAGATAATAGAACAAGTGATGGAGTTTAAATATCTAGGCATCACATTATCTAGCTATGGAAAGCTCGAAACCGAAGTGGAAGATCAAGTGAATAGAGCAAACAGAGACGCAGGCTGCCTAAATGAAATAATATGGAGAAATAAAAATATCGGGGAAAGAAACGAAAGACAGAATTTACAAAACAGTCATAAAACCAATAATGACATACGCGGCAGAAACAAGACCTGACATAGAAAGGACAAAAGCAGAGATATAGAAACAGCAGAGATGAAAACACTTAGAAAAATTGATGGTAAGACACTATAAGATAGAGCTAGAAGTACAGATATATGACATAGATGCAAGATGGAGAACATCAAAAACTGGGTAAGAAATAGAAGTGTAGAATGGAACGATCATATAAGCCGAATAACAACAAATATAGTAGTAAAGACGGCAAGAGACGGTTCCCCAATAGGAAGACGATCAGTAGGAAGACCACGAAAACGATGGAATGACAACTTACTGGAGGCACATCGAAAAACAGACAGAGTCATGTCTATATAGAAGAAAGAAGAAGAACAATTGAGCATGGTGTTTTTGCAAATACGACTCGTATTAGGTATCATGTAATCAAAGGCCAGTGTATATAGCTCTAAAATGTCACCCAGGGATTTTTTCGTAATAGCTTAGATGCGACGTGCGGCGCCCTCGAAGACCATTTTTACGATTCGTACGCCTTTAGTAGATCCACTGTTTCTGTTATAATATAAGAGTGGTATATCTGCAATTGGCCTAAAATATACAGGTACAGTTCTCTGTGCTCCTTAACTACAATATACATACAGGATTTTTGCGCCCTACAATATTACATAACGAAGCCTGTGGGTACAACAAAATACAACTCGTATCAGGTATCATACATATTGTCGAGTAAATACTTAATTCGTTTATTTAAAAAATTCCCTAATCAGCGGATCGTCTCTCCGGTTAAGGGCTGGTGTGAGGCAATTAAATTTTACGACTTTTTCGTCTGGGAATAGAGGGAATATCCTAATATTAATATTAGGGTTATGTAGATATAGTCAGTCGAATTGTACCACCGAAGCAAACTGAATTAAATAAAACTTTAAAGTCACATTTGTTTATTTTAATACAAAAGTAATTTTTTTGTAATAGAAATTTAAATTTGTATTTTTCGAACCATAACTTTAAAATGACCCCCACAGTTTTGTGTTAACAGTAATATCTTAGATGCGCCGCTCTCGAAGACCCTTTTTACGATTCGGAATTTTAGATTGCGCCTTTAGTATATCCACTGTTTCTATTATAATATAAGAGTGATACATCTATAATTGGTCTAAAATATACAAGTGCACTTTAGTTCCATTAATTGATCAAGAAAAACTTGCAGAGGAACTTCAATAATTTGCTGATAGGTAAATGTCCAGATGTTTCTTCGTCATTAAATGAATGTTATGTGAATGAAGATTTATATAAACTTATATATTTTCAGAGCGTGGGTTACCATCATAGCTATCTTAATTTTATTCACTGCCACTCTAAATAGCATGTTTGTATCAACACCATACCAATCATGCAAGTTCTTCAACCATGAGGTTCTTCTTCGTCCTGGACTGCGTTTACCTGCTATTTTTCCTTGCATGATATTTTGTAGCGACTTATATTTGGAACCTCTCATTACATGTCCGAAATACTCCAGTTTTCTGTAGTAGTGTTTGCAGATCTTCTTGACTAGAAACTAGGAGTACAGTATCGTTCGCATATCGCAAATTATTGATGACTTCACCGTTCACAAGTATTCCTTCTTGTTTTTCAGAAAGTGCTTTTCTAAAAATTCTTTCGGAGTAAACGTTGAACAGCAGAGGTGACAAGGGGCATCCCTTCCGTACTCCTCTTTTAATATTGAGAGTCTTTGATCCCACACCATCTACTAAAACTGATGTTGTTTGATTCTAATATAAATTTGCAATTATTCGAACATCTCTGCCGTCCAAGCCAATGCCTTTTAGAGCTTCGATCAATATAGAATGCTTAGCAAGATCACATGTCTTTTGGAAGTCAATAAAACAACTTATACGTCTACAGATATATCTCGACATCTTTGAGCAAGTACGTTCATTCCAAACAGTGCCTCTCTCGTTCCAAACCCGTTACGGACACCAAACTGAGTGTCATCCAGGTACTCCTCCCATTTATTGCAAATACGACCATGTATTACCTTCAGAACAATTTTCAATAAGTGGTTTAACAAATAGTGGTTCAATAAGTGGTTTAAATAAGTGATGGTTTACACAGCACAGGTTTTTGCTGTTGTCTTTAGGTAGAGCTATAAACAGTGAATTAGACCAACCATTAGGTAGTTGTCCGCTGGTATAAATGGTATTGAAAAACTAAGTTATAGC